CTCTGGTTTATGAATGTGAGATAGTGTGCTTCTGTATCCATCAAAACACCAGGAAATAGCCGAATATTGCTGCACAATCTCTCTCTCTCTCTCTCTCTCTCTCTCTCTCATTCATATCTATCTATCTATCTATCTATCTATCTATAGGGTCACCTATTTCTGCACAGGGAGGTAAAACAGTTTTTACTTTTAAATATCTGTAACTCAAAAACCCCTTGCCCAAATGTTTGCCACGAAGCAATAGCAAATTGTCTGCTACACCTGTCTCAGATCTGGTGCTGATCCAAAGTCCATTTTCAAAGTTACAGCTTTTGGGTGAGGGGGCTGTCCCTATTTTTGATATTGCCTTGCAGAATGCTGATTTGTTCTGCTGAACAATAACATAGCAGTATCACTGTGTATCTATAATCACCACGGTGACATCCAGCCTCCTATGGGAGAAAGGAAACAACAACACAAAGAGCGGATCAATGCAGCTGCAAACATTTTATAAAGAAGCCAATTCACTTTAAACCTTTATTTCTCTCCCCCCCCTCTTCCTGGCCATTTTCAGTATGAAACCATGAATTAGCTTCCCAATTTGTCTTGCAAGTTAACATCAAATATTATTGGGTAGCTTAACTAATCTTGCTCCATATTAGAACTAATGCAGTTTTTTTTAAAAAAAAACTAGTGCTAGTTTCCTCAGGTTTCTTTCAGTGTTTGTCACTGGCATTATACATAGATTCTGTACACCTATGCACATTTCACTGAAAATATTTGAACTATACATTTGTATACCATAGTTGCACAATGACACATCAGATATATTTGCAGCCTGTAAGTCCTATCAGCAACAGTACTTAGTAGTAATGTCTCTAAATGTTATTTTGCTAGTTGTCCTTCTCTCCTGCCTGTTCATGAGGAATTCTGGAACTGGTCATTCCTCTAAAAGCATGTCATGCTTCCTTTCGCAATGAGAAATTTAACTGCATAAACACATTTCTGGGATCCATTTGTGCTGCTGTAACATTGGTTCTGATTGGCTCTGACAAATCACCAAAAAATGTGGACCAAATGGGTGCATCCTGGCCAGAATCCTGTGGGCATAATTAAACAGGCACAGAAGAATGCTGTGTCTATAGCTGTCTGTCCGTCTGTCGTCCTCCCCCGTCTCCTTCAATCAGAAATGCAATTGCTTGACCAACTGTGTGCTATATCCCAGTCATTTGCAGTAAAGGAGGACAAACAGTTTTTATGACAGCCGTTATGCACAGAGTTTTCTTCAATAGGATATTTACTGGGGAAATAGGTCTGGGAATTATATGAGAAAGCAAGTTTCCATAAATATTCTCAATCATGATGTACAATTTAGTTCCAATTTTCCCATCTCATGGTTATAGGTTTATAATCTTGGTTGCCCTTCCACTGGACTCAACCAAGAGTATTCTTCCATGCTCAGATGTTGGAAGGTAGAGTCCTTCAGCCACAGACCAAATTCTGTGCTATCATGAGTCTTCTACATAATAGCATGAGATCTGATCTGAGGCTGAAGGAGGTGTAATTATTTGGGTACTGCTTACAACCATTATTGTTTTAAACTGTGTGGTAAAACTACTATGCTTGGTGGAATGCGTTAATGAAGATTTTACACTTTTAATATGCATCTTACTAATATTATTATGATCACCTTAAAGGCTTTTTCATAAAATAATCTCCCCAAATGGTTTCATCTTGGTTTTTTTTTTTAAAAATACAGGGGACTTGAAGTGCCAAGCAAGCCAGTGGCCATTGAGTAACCATGATGTAGAGCCTATGAGGCAAAAACAAAAATAAAAAAATAAAGAAGGCAAAAAGGTTGTGGCACTTTAAAGACTAACTGCTATATTTTAATGTGAGCTTTCATAGACAAGTCCACTTCATCAGACATGTTACAGAGCAGTGGTTCCCAACTTTGGGTCCTCGTGTGCTCCTGGACAAAAACTCCCAGAAGCTATAATGGTCAGAATTTTGGGGAGTTTTAGTCCAAGAACATCTGGGGACCCAAGACTGGGAACCACTGATATAGAACAAAAGTCCCAAGGCAACAGCCTTTGAGATCCTTTCTCCAAAACCATCATAACATTTCCTAACACCAAACCTGATAGCCCAGTAAGATACTATGGAATGATGTGGAAAGCCCCCAAGATGTCCAGCAAAAGAAATGGTTTCTACCTCTGAATCAGCTCTTAGATTAACTCTTCTGTTTGTTGAACCAAGGATGTTTACATCCTAACTCTTTGCCTAAATCTGGATTAGAGTGGGTCTAAAATTTAACTTTTCAAATTTAAGCTCTACCAATTACTTATATTCTAAATAGCCAGTCTTATTTGTTATCACAGGTTGCAGTCCCAGTCCCAAACACTTCCCAAGACCTCAGCTAATTTTGATATAAAACTCAGTTGCATTAGATGCAGGCATGTATTCAAGATAGCACAGAGTTTGGTTTTCAAGTCTGAATACCATGGAGTTATATACATGGGTTTATTTTGAGAAAGCAAGCATAGGATTAAACTGTTCTTTTCTCAGATTCAGGGTCATTCCTTAAACCTGTGAAATCTTATGCATACTTACCCATTGAACAGAGACAGATTTCCTTTTGATAAAGATTCATAGGAGGTTATGTTTGTAAGTAAGAAAATCTGATATGGCACTGGTTCTTCTTACATTTTATGTTATGGATTGACTTGACATGTGCTGTCAAGTCAATTCTGACTTACCCCGGCCCTTTTCAGGGTTTTCCAGGTAGAGGATACTCAGAAGTGGTTTCCCATTCCCTTCTGGGAATTAATTTCCTGGGACTGTGCAGCTTGCCCAAGGCCTGATTAGCTGGCCCTTCTCCCTGGAGGCAGAGTGGGGGATCAAACTCCCAACCTCTAAGCCACTGAGCTATCCAGACGGCTACCTTTTATTATACATAGGACTAATTACCACTTACAACATAATGTTTTGTCACCACAATTACCTCTTTAAAAGATCAATAAATGTTATAAAGTCACTACAGTGCTGTTAGGTGTGTCACCCAGCTAGCTCTGCTTTTTCTAATTTCTTAAAGAATTCTCTCCACCTAGAAAGCAAATGATAGACACTGGATTTAAAGAAAAGTCACTGTGGGCTCTTGACTGGTTTTGCAGTTTATCCGACAGGTGCATAGCTTTATGATGTCAAATGCAGGGTTAGGACACAAAAGGAACTGGTACATGCAACAAATCTGATTCTGAACAAGAAACTGCAGTCTCTGGATGCATGAAAATAAATCACACTGTATTTTAATTCAAAATTGCCCAACATGTTTTGGCCTGAATTTATGACCTTCTTCATGTTGATTTTTGGTCTGCGCTAGATCTTTTCCTTCATTTGATCTGTACACAGCTCCAATAATAATCTAACTAATCCATCTGAGTTGTTTACAGAGAAAATAATGGAGAAAGATCTAGTAAGGACCAAAAATCAACGGCCCTGAAGAAGACCATAAATTCAGGCTGAAACTCATTGGGCAATTTTGAATTGAAATAAAGTGTGATTTATTTTCTTCAGTCCTGAGACGGTCGTTTCTCCTTCAGGATCAGACAATTGCAGGAGCGGCCATCAGTCCTTCATTATGCTTCAAGTGGGCTACTAGCTCATCTCTCTTTACCTGTTTCTTTTAAGAGCCGAAGAGATGCATACCCGTGTATGCATTCATTTTTCACCTTCTATTTCTTACTGGAAATATCAAAAATAGCTTCACTATCACTCAGACAACTGGGCAGAAGAGATACCTCATTCGTGCCACTGTCAGCCCATTGGCACTCTCCACAGCCAGCTTTTTCTGCAAGCATGGGCCAGAAACAGATGTTAGAGATGATCTGTAATTAGAACTAAAAGTACATTAATATTGCAGGAAGGGAACAACCACAGTCTTTCAGTGGCTGAAATCCAGTTGCATAGAGCAGTACGTTGCAATTAGACTTAAGACCATTGAATCAATGGACTTGACAGGGGAGTTGATTCATCCAATCCACACAGATTCAATGGGCCTAATCTAGTTGCAGCTTACTACACTAAGCAGTAAGATTTCAGGCAGCGTTTGTGAAATTACACTTCAAGGACATCCAATGCTGAAATTCTGAAGGCTAATGACCAAAGAAAGGTGATCTGTGTAGCTCCAGTGCTGAGACCCATTTTTTGCTGTGGCACTCACTTTTGTGAAGAATTGCCCTATTCCAATCACGGTCTCTAATGCCTGCTTCTGACATTGCATGACTGTTTTCCTAGGAAACTAAGGAGAATATTTATATTGAAAAAGGCTTTGAACTGACTCACCCTACAAATCTTATGCCCATACTGTTGTTGTTGTTGTTATTATGTGAGGTGTATGAGGTGTTCAAGGGGGAGGTTTCCATTGCCAAACAATACCACTCCCCAATGAATTTCATGGCTAAGCAGGAATTCAAATCTGGCTCCGCTGAGTCCTACTCTCGCATTCTATTCATTATAACACACTGGTTCTCATGAATATCTTTGGTTTAAGTAAGCCTTTGTGAAATTAGTTGGTGTGTATCCTAGAGTTAACCAGAAAGAATCTTGTGGTACCATAAAAAATAGCAAATTTTATTTGACATATGTTTCTGTGGATGGCAGTCCCCTTCATCAGATGCAAATTGGCTGAGTCCCAGGAAGTCCGTATGACAAATAAAACATGTTTGTCTTTATGGCACCACAGAATTCTTTGCTTTATTTTATTGCTGTGACAGATTGAAAGGACTACTACCCCGGAAAATCCCAACATAAATGACTGAAACAGGTTTCAACAGATTTTGTTTTTTATTAAAAAGAAGGCAAGATTACACTGTTTGACTTTTATGTTGTCAGGTTTACATGCTAATAAGTTCTAAGGACCTGTATACATAGTTACATTCAATATTCCTTTGTTTCAAGAAAACCTTGCCGAAATGCCTCATTATTCCCCTCCCCCTCCCTTTTTTCTTTTTCTTTTCCAGACCTCAACAGCCAAGTGAAAGCTGAAAGCAAGAAACGCTACAGTGAGATATTTCGGAGCCTGGATGCCCTAGAAATTTCACTTGGAAATGCGTATGTATCAAAGAGGGATTTTCCAGTGCTCCCAGAGCACTACACACCACTGAATTTCTCCACACATATACATATGTAGGTACTGTACATGACTGCAAGGAAAACAATGTAAATGAAAGTTAAAAGACCATGGAAAGCACCAAGCTGCAATGGTTAACCCTACTTGGCTACAAAGCCAAGTGAAGTGGGTGAAGTGACTTTGGATCCGTCACACCTTTTTAATCTGAGGTTCTTTTGAAAGCGTGGGGGCAAAAAATATATGGTATTACTCTGAGGTCCTTGTAGGGAGGTTCTTGGTAGGCAGATAGCTCAGTGGTTTAAATATCTGGCTGTGTAGCCAGAGGTTGAGAGTTTGATTTCCCACTGGGCCTCTTGTGAGTACAGCCAGCCTGCGTGGCCTTGGGCAAGCTGCATAGTCCCAACCATCCCTAGGGTCTGAGGCCTCTTCCTTTGTCAAATGATAGGTCTGCTGCTGGATATATGTCCAGTGCGATGTTGTGGCAGATTATAGTTCCCCAATGTAGAGTAGCTATGTCATGTGTTCAACCAGAAGTATAGGCTTTCCAGCATACACGTTGCTCTCTTATGATTTTTATTTACAAAATTTATTTATTTACAATTCTTAAAATTAGGGTCTGAGGCCTCTTCCTTTGTCAAATGATAGGTCTGCTGCTGGATATATGTCCAGTGCGATGTTGTGGCAGATTATAGTTCCCCAATGTAGAGTAGCTATGTCATGTGTTCAACCAGAAGTATAGGCTTTCCAGCATACACGTTGCTCTCTTATGATTTTTATTTACAAAATTTATTTATTTACAATTCTTAAAATCTCACCATTATCAGTGGCTTCTGGGCGGCATACAACAATATTAAAACTTAAAAACATTAAAATATCCTATATTAAAACAATTCTTAAAATATGAATATTAATAAGTCCTGCTGCTCATGTGGCCAGTTAGAGAATACTGTTTAATTAAAATGATAAGTAGGGTACCCCAAGGCTTAGTCCTGGGCCCAGCGCTCTTCAATATTTTCATTAATGACTTGGTCGAGGGAGTACTTGGAATGCTTGTCAAATTTATTTATTTATTTATTTATTTGCAAGATTTTTTGTTAGCCGCGCCATTACCAATGGTCTCTGAGCGGCATACAACAATATTAAAACTTTAAAAACATTAAACCATTAAAAATAGGCAATATTATAATACACTATATTAAAAACAATCATTAAAACATTAATATTAATAAATCCTGCTGCTCATACATTAATATTAATAAATCCTGCTGCTCATATGGCCAGCTAAAGAATACTATTTAATTAAAATGGTGGCTAAACAGAAAGGTCTTTGCCTGGTGCAAAAAAGCCAAAAGTGTTGGAGCCAGATGAACCTCTATAGGAAGGGTGTTCCAAAGTTGGGGGGCAACAGCCGAGAAGGCCCTATTTGGCATGCCACCATCCTCACCTCTTTCAGGAATGGCACCTTCAGAAGGGTCTCTTGGCCTGATTTTAGAGGACAGGCAGGCTCGTATGGAAGAAGGCGGTCCTTTAGGTAGCCAGGTCCTAAGCCGTTTAGGGCTTTATATGTCAAAGTAATCACTTTGAATTGGGCCCGAGCAGCAACTGGAGCCAGTGTAAATTTTTCAGAACCAGCATGATATGAGTCAGTGTAACAGCACCAATTACCAGCCACACAGCCTGGTTCTGTGCCAGTTGCAGTCACTGGACCATTTTGAAAGGCTGCCCTGCGTGTAGCGCATTGCAGTAGTCCAGTCTGGTTGTTGCCAGTGCATGTGTGGTTGTTGCCAGGATTCACTCATCCAGGTACGGGTGAAGTTTATATATTCTCCGCAGCTGTAAGAAGGCACCTCTGGACACCAAGTCCAACTGGGCTTCAAAGATCAGACCTGGGTCAAGAAGCACCCCCAAGCTGCAGACCCTGTCCTTTAGGGGAGGTTTAACCCCATCTAGGGCATGGGAGTGGCCCTTTAACCTATCTGGTGGAGCACCTACCAGTAGCACTTCTGACGTGTCTGGATTGTGCTCAGTCACCACACGTCCCAACACCTTGCCCAGAGAAGGGAGGTTCACCACTGGTCGGTAGTTAATAACTAGACGTGGGCCCATATTAGGCTTTTTTAGGAGTGGGCAAATCACCGCCTCCTTTAATGGGGCAGGAACCACTTCCTCTCTTAACGAGGAGTTGATAACCTTCAGGATCCAGGTGCGAACTCCCCTGGCAGATTTCTTTATTAGCCATGATGGGCAAGGGTCGAGTTGTGTAGTAGTGGCACAAACTGATCCAAGCACCCTGTCCACATCCTCGGACCGTAGCAACTGGAACTCATCCAATAAATTATGACATAAGTCTGGAGCACTGGACACAACCATAGGCTCTGCATCAACAGTGGAGTCCAACTCTTTGCGAATCTGAGCAATTTTTCCCTCAAAGTGTGTAACAAATTCGTTACAGCAAGCCACTGAGCAGTCCAGGACCTCTACTGAACCAATAGAATGAAGAAGGTCCCGGACCACTCGATATAGCTCTGCTGGACGACACGCCGAAGAAGCAATACGACTGGAGAAATACTGGTGTTTCGCCAGCCGCATTGCCACAGAGTAGGCTCAATAATGGGCTCTAAGCTGTGTTTGGTCATAGTTGCAGTGATATTTCCTCCATCTGTGCTCAAGCCGTCTCCCCAAATGTTTCATAGCCAGAAGATCCTTTTTGTACCATGGAGCCATATAGGCTCTGCGGGCAGGGAGAGGGTGCCTAGGTGCGATTGTGTCAACTGCCCGGGCCATCTCCTTGTACCACCTGGGCTTCGACAGGAGCACTGACCATATCAGCTGGAAACTCCCCTAGAGCATTCAGGAATCATTCAGGATCCATAAGTCTCCAGGGGTGGATCATTTTAATTGATCCCCCACCCCTGCAGAGGGTAATAATGGCAGAGAATCTGAACTTTACCAGGAAAGCAATGGCCAAAGATGATAGTGGCAGAGAGTCTGAACTTTACCAGGAAAGCAATGGCCTAAGATGATGTGGATGTTGAGGTTAAAAAAAGAAAGATAGTACTTTTTTTCATACATGTTGAAAACTTGTATAGAAATTAAAGAATGGGAGATTCACCACTCCATGGTGGAATCCAACACTAACTACCAGGGGACTGCCTTACTTTGCACGATAGATTCAACCACTATGTCCTGTCTGATCCTCATAGTAAATCACTAATTCTGCCCTGCATATCATTTCTGCTGATGGATCTATCTCATTTGCAGGGCGGTTGATATGTTTATTGATGAGCCTAATGATGACAGTAGTGGAGCCTCAAACCCACCACCAGAAGATATACAGGTATTATGAAAAGTGATGTTGACCCAAAATGGAGAAATATTAGAAAGGATGTATTTATTGAATGAGACAAAAATAAAAGCAAAAGTCTTGTTGCACATTTCAAGATGTATTTTTGTATGACATTTTATGGATTATGTGATGAGAATTCCAGCCTGTATAGCATTGGGCAAGCTGTAAAGTCCCAGGTCACAGCACAAGAAATGAATGGGAAACCTCTTCTGAGTACTCTGTACCTAGAAAAGCCTGAAAAATGTTGCTTTAAGTCAGAATCAGCTTGACGGCATGTAATTAGTAGTAGCAGTAGAGTTCATGGGTTATATTCCACTTCCCCAGACACATGAAGTAAAATATTTAGTCACAAGATAGTACACATAGTATATATGGTTGTATATATGGTTGTAGATGTAGAGGCCAAACAAAGCAGGATAGAGGCAGAGCTTAGGAACTTCCACAGTGAAAATAGCCAGAGTCTTATCAGTGTTCATCTGAGATTTCTGTCATTTGCTGCAACTGATTGCCAAGATGTTGGGGTGCGATTGGTTGCCCAGTTGTATGGTTGTAGATGTAGAGGCCAAACAAAGCAGGATAGAGGCAAAGCTTAGGAACTTCCACAGTGAAAATACGTAGCCAAATAGACAGAGATTTCTGTCATTTGCTGCAATTGATTGCCAAGGTGTTGGGGCAAAATTGGCTGCCCAGTTGAGCCTGTGATCAGGCACATGACTGGAACACATCCTGGTACCTTGCCAATTGGCTGCAATTAGCTACATGTGATGCCAACCCTGTGTGAACAACAGTAAAACTCTGCACGATAGCATTATCAACAGAGGTAATGAGTTTCCAGTTTGATAAAAGCTTTTTATCCTTTGCCCGATAAATTCTCCTACAAGGTCTAATTGAGGAACAACAGCAAAATAGCCTGACTGCACATAATGAATGAGGGCAGACAGCAGGAAGGGATAGCATTGTTACAGGTGAATAGGTCCAACTCTTAAATCTGGCTACGTGTACACCAAATACAAAGGTGTACAAAGAATCAGGAAAGCAACAAACTCTGTGTACATAAGTGTATGGCATCTACTTATGCAGACTTAGTGGTGTGGGACAAAATCAAAACAATGCTGTTTTCTTAAACACATGTGATGAAGCTTTACAGGGAGAAATGCGGGGAGGATCGTGACATCATCATTTTAAATAACTTACTTTTTATGTTTTATTTTTTGCAGACAGAGGAAGTCTGTAGGTGTGAAGGAAATGTGGAGGCAGGAGAGCCAGCAAACCTGTCAGGTAAACAAACTGGCTACTTTACATTTTGATTTCCTTTATTATTTCTCATTGATTTTTCTCTGCTGTGTTCCATGAAGAGTTGGTCTGTGGACTGGGGCGGAGGGGGGGCACCTTACACTAGAATTTTATCCTTGCCCCCAATTACAAGTTGCCTATGGCTTAGGATAGAGAAACTAATTGAGCAAAAGATGTCCCTTCCTTCTCCTCTTTCATAATACCAACATATATATAATAGCATTTTTGCTACCAGGAAATTAAGTGCTTGTTTTTATTAGCAACTTTAAAAGTTTGCACTCCTTAATCTTAAAGGTTTGTCAATATTTCTGCATTTTGGACAGTCTGTAAGTGTCCAAAAATGGACTGTATCTTACTTTGTTTGATCTTTTTATGGATTTTTATTTTTGCTATACTGTCTACTAAGTGGCAATGGCCTCTGGCTAAATGCAGGATTGACAACTGGAATGCCAGATCTCTCTGTCACTCAAGGAAATTGATTGACAGGAGACTCAAAATAGATAAAAGAATGACAAAACAAACAATTAGTTGACAGAATTTCCCAGCAGAAGAATGAGAGCTGGGGGAGGGGGGGAAATCTCAGGATCTTTCAGCTAGTAGGGTGGCTGATTTCAAAATCCAAACTTTGATACTTGCTTTCCCGTCTCAGAGCTGTTTTGTGGCTCAAATATTGAATCATAATGAGGTAAGAAGGACTTAACCTGGAAGGTGTGTGAGTTTAGGGCTTCACTAGCATACCCAAAGGTGTTCAGTATTAAGAGGACATGTATCTTTTAAGATTTCCCCTCCATATTGACAACTTCCTTCTCAGTGATTCCTTCACCATGGCACCATACCTCAATTTAAACATTAATATGTTTTAAAAATCAAATACAAGGCAATCAATGAGCAGGGTGTGCTACAATTTCCTAGCAATTGCAACTATTCTAATGGTCAAAATAGACCTTACAGTGAGCCATTTATTAGAAGCAGAGCTTTCTTAAGAGAGCTCTGCTAAGAGACTGATTACATGGGCGTTCAACCTGCTGTTGAGTCCACTGCAGGGATGGGTTCGTTCACTCCGTTTTCCAGAAATCACATGACTTAATTGCTAGAGTGAACCAAATCATCCCCAGAGTGATCCTATTCATATTTTTCTAGCTCCTGTCAGGTGCTTCTATATTTTTGGCGCTGGTTTGGCTTGTTTCCAGTGTGTCAGATCTCTGGAAATTAACCAAAAGTGAGTCTTCTGGCTGTTAAGGCTCCTTTTGGTGGGAATTTGGCTATGAACAATATCTCAACTGGACTTTTAGACAAGGCAAAGAAATTTTTAAAAAAGAAAATAAGTGATACAGCTCATCAGTGCTGCCTTAATGCAGCCTTTTAAAAAATCATTTCTTCTTCCTCTCTGCAGAGCAGAGGAAATATTTACTTTTCTAATATATTTTCTAAGATGGAAATTCCCAGAAGAAGGAGCCAGACCAAATAAGAGTCACTTGAGGCCCAATATACAATTGGGATGCAACGATTGCACCAAATTAGTTGCCAATTACTTGTAGCTGGCTTCTATTTGGTGATAGATAAATACTGGTTTGATTTGCAAGGTCATTTTGCAGACACAACAGTTTCAAAACTTTTGGAAAGGAAGAAATGGAATATTGGTTTTGAACTATAAAGCCAGCATCTCATCTAGTTCAGCTGCCAGCATGTGGAATGGCTATACCAGCCTTGCTGTCCAGACAATCAGTCCCCATGTGATGCTCAGGCCAAAAGGGCCAACTTAGGTTCCAGTGCAGGATCATGTTCTCTTAGGAGCCAGACTAAGAAACCATTTTTTTTATGAGTCAAGGGGAAAGCTGAAAATGGAGCAGCAAGTTGAAGTCAGTTCCTGGAAGCCAATGTGGAAAGCGAGGAGACCTCTGCAAGAAGAAAAGGAGGTAGACAGAGAATGAAGAGCAAGATCTTTGTTTGTTGCCAGGAAGCAAAGCAGGAGGAGGCAAGGAAAAGAATACTGTAGAATGGAGACATTGAGGCAGCAGGAGCTGGTGGCTCCAATTTCAGAGGTGCTGTGCAGTCTCAGTTTTAGCCTAGTGAAGTTATATTTTTCAGGAGTTATCCAAGGTGCTGAATCTATTTGAGGGACAGGATTTAGCACCTGTAGTAAATGACAGATTGACATTTGGGATGAATTCACAGCATCGCCCAAATTGGAATCGGCCACTAGCTGCCATTGCTGTGAGCTGTGCACAGAAGCTGTATGTTACACTGACACGGGCTAGCAAAAGAAAGGAGAAGTTTCAGAGATTGAAAAGGACAATCATCAGTCACAGTGGGGAATGCTGCCAGTGCAAGGCAGGAAGCTAGTAAAGATATTTGTGCCCCCAGAGCTGTAGCAGTTTCTAAAGAGATGAAGTGGCTCAGTGAGTAGGGCTCCAGACTGGCCTTCTGCACCAAGGATAGGGAAACTTTGACTGTCCAGTTGTTTGGAAGTGCAACTTTCACAATCCTTTACCATTGGCCATGTCAGCTAGGGCTTCTGAGGAATTGAAGTACAAAACATCTGGATACCATAAGTTCCCTAGTTCTATTGCACAGGCTTCATGGATCAAGTCTCCCTGTGTCACGAGAATTATTGCTGCATGAGAGTGCAGCAATAAGATTTTGTGCAATAGCCCTATTCAGCATTCCATAAGGCAACTAAAAAAAAAAAAAGATGAGGGACCTCAAACAAAATTTCAGCATTCCATAAGGCAACTAAAAAAAAGATGAGGGTCCTCAAACAAAAGATTACAACTTTGAAACTGTTTGGCATAGATGTGGCAGACAGACTGGTTTTGCTCTGTGCCAAATTTGGAGACGTTTGAGGAAATGGTTTTCAAGTTACAATTTTCACAGTTGTTGAAAAACAGCCCTGACAATTGCTTTGCATTTGGGTAAGAAGTGGGTAACTGATAAAAAAAAAAGGAGTCAGCTTCTGGCATTTTCCCTTGCATGATATCACTTTGTAAATAGTAGTGAACAGAAGAGGGTATCCTGTAGATCATCTTGATTGCTGTAGACCACCTTGGCTGTTGTCAACATTCAGACTGCCACTTGCTATGTAAACTTTGGCATTCTTTTTCTTGCTGGCAATGCAGGCACAATATTGTGCAGTAGTAGCAGGCCATTTCCTGGCATTTTGAATCATACGTACAGAAGCACAATATCTCACATTCATAAACCAGAAGGTGTTTTGGGTTTTGTTTTGTTTTCTTTTCTTTTTGAAGTGTTAAATTGTTTCCCTACACAGCCAGAGGTTCTCACGCGGCTGGAGACATCCCCTCCCCTCAGTTAGGTGGCCACACTGAGTGTCTCTCCTAGCTCTTGAGTAAAACCAATATTCTCTTTAATTTTCTCAGCTGAAGAAGCTGATGAGATGCTGATCAAATGTGACGGTGGTGTGGAAGCAGCTTTGGGGTATGCCAAGCTGTGGTGCAAATATGTCAAGGAGCTGTTGAACTGGATAGACAAGCGTCTTGCTTACGGTGAGGTCTATTTATCAATATACTGTACAATAGCCATCTGATCCATGAAGTCCTTCCATTCCTTGCAGTTGTACATTCCTTTAATTTAAAGCTTATTGACTCAGATGATATGTTGCTATTGGGGGGGGGACCCACAAACTAATCTGCATTAGGCAACAGAACATAACACTGAAATGGGTGTTTTGCTCTTCCTGTGAACCTTCTGCCAGGTGTGAGCAGCTTCCTAGAAACGCCCCCCTCTTACCATACTATTAATGTTCTTCAATCCACTCCCCTCTTTGTTTGTTGTTCACAGAGGTTGAATTTGCAAAGAACATCCTGAAGATTGCCGAAGCTGGCCGAAGTGCCGTTTTCCCACAGGTAGCACTTCCTCAGAGCTCCCATAACTTCATTTGTGGGGAATCTACTTTTATCTGAGGTAGTTTGTGTCCTATTTTGCCTGATCTGTAAGATCTTTTGTTCACCTCTCCCAGATGGAGCCTAAAGCAGGATGCTGGAATATATCTAGCTGAGGTAATTACTTTAGACTCCATCTAAGAGAGACTGACAAAAGACCATACAGATTGGAGATGGTGAATTGATTCCAATATTTACTGGGAAATGGTGCTGGTAATGTAGTTTCTAAACACCCACATTTACACAGGTGTGCACACATGCTTTCTGAGTACATATAGGATTAACTCATTCACCACCACCACATGGAGAGGCATCATGGATTCCAATATGCCGTTTCCAACAAAGCATAGGTATATGTTTGCTTTTAAAAACAATGTGATCTTTGTACACCATCTAAAGGCAAGATTGGATGATGCTTTTGTTAGAGCAGGAAAAAAAATTCCATAAACGTAAGCTATTTTTTAATCCCACATGGATCTTCGTAAGGCTGGGCACTACAGCACTTGGAGGAGAACAGAAGAAACATTAGAATTCCAGAAATCAAGCCCAATTGTGTATGTCAGTGTCTTTTGTTTAAAGAAAGTTTCAAAATGGGGGCTGCAGACTCAGGTTAGAGGTCTAGATTTCAGATTTTACCTCCAGTGAGGTGAAACAAATAGTTGCTGAATGACCTCTTATACCTGTTGATATAAACAACACACTTGTTGTTAGGGCCCTTTCAGATTCTGTATGTATGTATGTAATTCCTACAACTCCAATAAACACCATTTTAATAGTCAAGCTACAGTTGAAACTAGAGAAAATGTTTTGTTTCAAACAGTAAGTGTCCGTCCTTCTTTCTAATAAGAGTTAGTTTCTGGACTCACAATGGTTCTGGAGCTAAGAGCAGAGGTGCCTCTTATAGTCCTTAATGTAGTCTGTGTGCTCCTTTGAGGCCACAATAAGAATGAAGGGAAATCATGATGAGTGGGAAGCTTCTTTGAGGTTTCTACTACATGCTCTAGGACAATGGTTCCCAACCTTGGGTTCCCATATGTTCTTGGACTAAAACTCCCAAAAGCCTTCACTGCTAGCTGTTCTGGCCAGGATTTCTGGGAGCTGTAACCCAAGAACACTTGGGGACCCAAAGTTGGGAGCCACTGCAAAAGCAACTTATCTCTTCAGGAATGCAAGCAACACAGTGGCCAGTAGAATGCCTTCTGCTCCTCCGGACACGACTAAACGACTAAACAGACAGGCACACATGCTTTCTGAGTACAGGGATGCACATACCTCTGTTGGATCATGGTGGCAGATAATCTATGCAGCAGTTGGATTGCTAACTCAGAAAAGTTCCATTTATTTCTGTATTTATTTCAACCCAGGAATCCTTACACTTGTTGACTATATGATAAAACGGGTTGGTGACCCATAATTAACAAGCAAGATATCCAATGTGATGATGTGGCTAGAGTGACAGACTAGAACTCAGCTACTGAATGGGAGAGGCTCCTTTGGTTTGTTGTTACATACAGATGTGCCTCATATTGTGGACTGGCTCTGCTGGTGCCTTGGAGTGCCTCCAGTACTGAAGTCTTGTATTGAGACGTGTGATCTGGCTGGTCTCTGAAGTGAGCTTCTTTGCAGATGTGCTGGCTACCTTATAGAGCTGCTGGATGAAACTACAGCCACATTGCACACAATTCATAAGGTGTTAAGTGCTGTCCACGGGGTTGTTCCTAATTAGGAGTGTTTTAATAGGGCTCCTCTGACCTTTCTATATGCTGAGACTTAAATTGAGTGGTCCTTGTTCTGGTCCCAATGCTATTTGTCTTTCCAGAATTTCATGCCCCTACAGAAACTGTACACCATGGTAATGGAGCATGACATAAAAGCAGGGAACCTAGCCATTGAGACTGCTGGAATTTTGCACCTGAAAGAATACTATGAGGTATGGCATTCCTGGGCTTAATTAAGACTGCTGGGCAAGGGCAGCTACTATAATAGTTTGTGGGTCTGCATGTCTTGGTGGAACAACACGTGCCTTGTACTGTATACAGAAGGTCACAAGTTCGATTCCTGGCATCTCCAGATAAAGCTAGGAAACCATTCTGCCTGAAAGATGGAGAACTGCTGCCAGTCAGTATTAGCCATACTAGACTATATGTGTCAAATCACACAAGATGACCAGCTTCACAATAGGAGGTTTATTCACTGAATGAACACAAGCTCCTTTTCCGTTTGTGAAGATATGGAGGAATGTTAGCAGATAATCACTCTTGCTTTATTGTTTAAGTCAGCTCTGCTTTTAATTGTGAAAGGATCTTGTGAGTTTTGGTCCTGAGTATAAGCCAGCTTCCTGTGTTCTCCTCTCCCAGACATTTGTGATATCCTAAAGATGTTGTAATTTTAGAGAACTATAGCCATTGAGATATTACTGATTGCCTGAGCCCCGCCCGCTACTCCCTCCCTGTGTCTTTTCCCTGCAGCCTCTTTGGGCCAAGAGGAACGAAATTGAGAAATGGCGGAAAGAGTTCAAAGATCAATGGCAGAAGGAGCACAAAAGGATGGTAAGAACACAACCAGGAGGAGCAAATGGCTTCTATCACCTTTCTCTCTTGCCAAGTGTCCATGGGCCTTTACGTTCCTATACATGCAAGGTTTCTTTTAAGGTGACAATGAAAATGAAGGGATCAGGAAGGGGCTGGGAGCTTCCAAACAAATAGACATACTCTTCTGACTGTTGAATCCAAAGACATAACATCTTCAAAAAGACCTAGATTTTCAAGGATTTTAGCCACAGGGACTACCAGAGATATTACCACAACTTTCCTGGAATTGTTCACATTACTTAAAACTTCCAGATTGTTAAGCAGACATGTATAGACAGCATTCTTCAGTCCAATATGGATAATTTATGTAATGTAATGTAATGTAATTTTTTTCCCTTTGCCTTGTATGTAGTGGCAGATGAGAAACTGCCTGCAACCACGGTTTCATAGAATCATAGAATAGTGAAGTTGCAAGGGGCCTATAAGGCCATCAAGTCCAACCCACTGCTCAGGGCAGGAATACAAATCAAAGGATATCTGTCAGGTGGTCGTCTAAGTTTCCCCTGAATGCCTCCAGTGTTGGAGTGCTAATCACCTCTCACAGTAACTGATTCCACTGTCTTGCTGCTCTTACGGTTATGACGTTTTTCCTGATATTCAGTTGAAATATGGCTTCACAAAGGATCTAGAGAGCTTTGCAAAGAGAAGGAGGTCTGTTCAATTGTATGGTGAAAGATAATGGGCTGCTCCAAGGGCATATAACAACTCTCATAGGTCATCAAAATTCCTGTTGGTACAATGTGCTGTTATAAACTTAAGAGATGATTTGGCTTGTGCTTGGCAGCAAGAAGATCAGTAACAACTAATAAGCTAAGGTTAGATTGATACTAATATAGCTGAAGCAATACTATTTATTTATTTATTTATTTATTTATTTATTTATTTATTTATTTATTTATTTATTTATTTATTGGACTTATATACCGCCCCATAGCGCTACAAGCACTCTCCGGGCGGTTTACAATTTTTAATTATACAGGCTACACATTGCCCCCCCAGCAAGCTGGGTACTCATTTTACCGACCTCGGAAGGATGGAAGGCTGAGTCAACCTTGAGCCGGCTACCTGGGATTTGAACCCCAGGTCGTGAGCACAGTTTTAGCTTGCAGTACAGCGTTTTAACCACTGCACCACGAGGCTCTTTGTCTTTTTCTGTAGATGGGTGATTAATGTGTATTGTTGTGGGTGTACTGTTGTGATAAGGAAGAGAGATTATCTGTCCCACTGTGATTAATGCGTGTCATTAGCTGGTCTTTTGTGTGTAATGATCCCCGGTCCTTGTGGCTGGGTAGAGTTCGTTGACCTTTTTCACGCTGTATTTTTGAGAGCTAGGGGCCAAGTTTTGTTGAGCTTCACACTTTCCTCTTTTCTGTTGAAGTTTTGCTGGTGCTTGTGGATTTCAATGGCTTCCCTGTGCAGTCTGACGTAATGATTGCTGGTGTTATTCAGTATTTCAGTATTTTGGAATAGAATTTCATGTCCAGTTTGTTTCAGGGCATGTTCGGCTACTGCAGATTTTTCTGGTTGTTTTAGTCTGCGGTGTCTCTCATGTTCTTTGATTCTGGTGTGGATACTTCGTTTTGTGGTTCCAAAGAGCCCGAAAAACCCACAACAACCATTAGATCCCGGCCGTGAAAGCCTTCGCGAAAAAAGTGATTCTTCATAGCAGTAATGATCTAGCCAAATAAGAAAAATCATTTGAGTCCAGTGTTCAATTTGCCGATATCTTGAAGTGGCTTGTTTATTAAGCCACTTCATGATACTAGAAATTGACAGCAGAAGGAGTCTTGGCAGCTTTGATAACTGCAAGGCTCAATCTTAGTCCATTCCCAGTGGAATGCTGGGAATGGACTAAACTAGAGGTGCACCAACCTGCACCAAAAAGTAGGAGCCTCTGACAGTATTTCAGAAAGGTAAGGGTTGGGATGCGGCAAATTGTTCCATTCTAATAATTATGTTGTGTGGTCAAGAGAGAGAAAAAAAGAGTCACCCAATCCACAGCCACAATGCACCAAATAGTGGGGGAAACATCCATCTGAATGAGCCCAACGTTAGTAGCATGGATCTGTTTCAGTCAGTTACAGTGACTGCATTGCAGTGGTCTGAAAGAAAGTCATTTCCCGCCTAGTAAATTTTGCCTCAAAGCAATTTTCAGTTGCTACAGGCAATCTATTGCTGTTTTAAAGCTTCATTTAGAAGGAAATTCAATTTTCCATTTCGAAGCTTACACAAATACAGGGCATTTCCCAAGGGCCCAAACTGTCTTTCATCTTCAGGGTCAAACTAGACAGCACAGAGAGCACAGTGCTTGCCTCTGAAAGCAGTGAAACACATACAAGTGATGCCCATGTTTACCTCCTGATAACCAATCAAAAAACAAAGCAACCTATTCTGACGGTTATAGAAGGCAAGAAAAGCATATGCTATTAGGAACTGATGCCTCTTGTCTTTTAGCAAATCGCTGCTTCTAGCAACATGTTACATTAGCATCCTCATTCAGTTTGACCTTTTAATGAAACCATTCAGAACTACAGCTGGGCAGCTTGACCACTGTGAATTTTGTCCCACCTGCAGAATGATTCCTTGTCCTCCATGCGCAAGTCCCGGCAACATTACCTCCAGCGCTGTGAGGATCTGGAGAAAGCCAAACTGTTAAGTGCCAAGGCAGAAGAAGAATTCCAGGGTGTAGCAGGCAGTGGCAACAAGCAGCTGGAGAAACGGCGCCGTTATCGAGATGAAGCCCAGATAAAGGTATCGGCCCGCGGTTCTGAAATCAAAGCAATTCAGGTCTCTGTCACTTGTAGGGTGGCCTTGGGTTTTAGAATTCAGATCCTCACAATGATTCAGAGACTGGAAGTGTGTGGAGTATAGATCTTTGAAAGTTGCTTTTGAAAAGTAATCAATTTCTTTTCAATGAGTTGTAATCTGTTTTTTCCAAAGTAACTTTAGAACTTTGCTTCCTTTTAGTTATGTTAAAAAAGAGTGCTGTATTCTGAATTCTACAAGCAGCTGGGGTTGTATAAAACACACTGCTCAGAATCCTATCACAACCAAGTGTGCAATATAGGTTTGTCTGAGTGCGTACCACATGCCAGTTACTGAGTGGCCAATCTCTTCTTCTCCACCTTGTAACCTCAATGTTTACAAAGCAGCATGGGGCCCAGCACAAGCCAAACTTGAAACTACAATAGGACCCCCGTATCTGCGAGGGATCAGTTTCAAGCCCCTCTGTGGCTGCTGAAAAAATGCACATTATAACTATACAGTACATAACATGGTATCTGGCTCCTTCTAATGGCCAGTTGTGGTAACTTTATCTTTAGAAATATATATCTCTAGAATTTTTCTTTTAATATTTTCAGACGGTGGATCAGCAGATACTGATCCTGCAGATAAGGGGGTCCTACTGTACATGATATTCCTCCTCCATTAATGAATGAAGGTTCCCCTTGACATTTAGTCCAGTCATGTCTGACTCTAGGGCGCGGTGCTCATCCCCGTCTCCAATTCTTAGAGCCAGTGTTTGTCCATAGACAGTTTCCGTGGTCACATGGCCAGCGCGACTAGACATGGAACGCCGGTACCTTCCCACCGAGGTGGTACCTATTTATCTACTCCATTTTTACATGCTTTCGAACTGCTAGGTTGGTAGGAGCTGGGACAAGCGACAGGATCTCGCTTCACTCAGGGAGGGTGGAGTTGCTGCAGATATAACCATGTTTTGCTGTGTAAAAATGCAACCTAAACTTGAACTGCATTGATGATGTTAGGCTGGCCCTGTGCAAAATAGATGGGTGTTTATTTGGAGTACAGAACTAGGAATATTTTTGAGGTTCCTCTCTCAGATGTCCACATGAAACATTAGTACTTCACCCTCTCCCATCCCCGTTTTGATATTTTCCCAGTCTTTCCATCAATTTTTCTTTTATTGCATGCAGGTTCATGAATCAGAAGTGGCCTACAAAGCGTGTGTTATTGATGCCAACAACCGCCGGCAGGGTCTGGAGAAAGTTAGGGAGAGGATTGTGTCCCACATTCGCAAACTAATGTATCAAGGTGATGAGGTATTGAGACGGGTGAGTAGAAATCCATGCATCCACACCTTCCTTTCCCTCCAGAGATATTTTTTAAATAATACAGGAAGATGTAAGAAATGGTGCAGAAACACACAAATTTACAAATAGAAGACCCTGATCACATCTGGATCCTAGTCAAATTCTGAAAACGAGGGGAGTGAGGGCATAACATCAGTTCCCCGAAGAAACCTGCAAAAGGAAAATCCTCAGTAATGTAGGAGCTTGGGAGCTTGGGAAGAATGCAAGACTTGAGAGAATTTATGATTTTTGAGAAAGTGGCTGCCTGTACGTTTTTTTAAATACAGAAGCAACAAACAGTCCTGAACTACTACAGACTAATACACTTACTTTGGCTTAAGTGTCTAGGGACAGCAGTTCATTCACTCCATCAGATGCAAGAGGCATTATCCTGAGTCAATTATAGTTGGAAATGGGAGACAGGAAATAGTGAGGGCAGAAGAAAATAAAATATGGGTTATAGGCCCACAGAAATGTATGCCTTAAGAAATGTGTTACTTTATGGAGCTGTAAAACTCTTGTTCTCACTGTAACAAGGTAACATAGTGGCCCCTCAGAAACTTTTTTACAATGCTCTTCAAGTATTCAAAACCCTTTAAATTCAGCACCTCAAGATTGAAATATGATATTTGTTGTATATAACCTATCATTGGAAGAGGGGATTCCTTAACTGGTAAAAGTATCTGATTGTTACAACAGCAGATTTTCTCACCTTCCATAGTTTATAAATAAGCTTGCTTTGTTTTGTCATTTGTCTTTGGGATCTAAACACAGGTTTCATTTGCAAGTTAGATTTCTCAAATGTGAAAGTCTGCCTAAGTTATGTCTCGGGAAACACTGACATGATTTAATCCATGATGACAAATTATCTCTGTAATGTATAGCTTGAGCCTCTGCAATCTTCAATTTCAGTCTTGTAATGTAGTTGATTATTACTATCAGCCTAATGAGCTCATGACTGAGGGAAGATATGAAACGTGATTTTCCTGGCAGCTCAAAGTATTGACCAGTAGGCAGAAACACTGGAGGATTCTGCAGATTTCAAGTGTAACTCCAAATGTTGTGAATTGCAAAAAGATGTGTCAACTTTCTTCATGTTTCCTGGTATGGTTTCCCTAAGGTGACACTCAGGATGTTCAAACTCCAGCAGGCTCAAGCAGAGCGAATCCCTGTAGCATACCAGAGCCTGACTGAGTTCTGCACACCCTACCAGACTGGGGAGAAATACCTGGACTTCATTCAGAACCTGCGGAGGAAAGAGCTGTCAGTGGAGGTCTTCAAATTTGAGGAGTTTGTACCCTCAGTGCAGAGGTAAAAACAGCAAAGCCCTTCCACCTCTACCACTGGAGCAACATAGCCCACTCTTGATTCCTCACACTTTTTCTCCTCTAGCCCTGCTAGCAGTTTTTGGGTGTGAATTTTCCGTCCACCCACCAAACGGAACTTATTGGCAGCTGAAACCCAGAATGTTGAACACAGCAGATGGAAGGGTGTGGCTTCAACAGGAAGGAAAGCGCTCCTTATTTCTTCCCTCTTCAAAGGCAGCATATATGTTCCTTCTTCCTGTAGTTAACACTCAGGGTCCTTGTGGTGTTTGCTCATCCACACGAGCCTTCACTGTTTTCAGAGTGAAGGCCCATCATTAGTTCCAAATATACTGTACATTCTGAGGGCCTTCCTCAGGGAGAGGGATTTGAGCCACAGGACTTCCTAACAAGTTAGATATAAATTGCACCGGTGACTCCCCCCCCCCACCAATAACTTGGACTTGATTTGCAACTTGGAGCCCATCTTCCCCCTCCTTTTTTTCTGGGGGAAAAAGCTTGTTTTCAATAATGACCTCGACTTTGGGCCTGGGACTCTGAACTTGATACTTAAGACTCAGACACTCGAACCAAAAGAGCTACCAACATCCCTGGCCTTCCTTGATTTTTTGTGGGTGTTATCACAGGGGCAGTGCTGCTGTTACAACCCCAGTGAGTCAGGTGGTGACTCCGTAGTATATCTTAATCAGAGTTTGGGAGAGGGGGGATATTTTCTTGGAGTACAATTCTCAGACTCCCCAGGCATATAGCCCGTGGTAATGCTGGCTAAGGGCTGCTCAGAAATGTAGTTCAAAAAGGAACTTTCTCCAAATTCCTGTCTCAGCTTTCCAGTTGAAGAAAAAATGTTCTAATATAAAATGGTAGTATGGGATTATGTAAACTCTCAGTTACAACCAGTCAGGCAGCCAGCCTCCATCCTGACTGAATTCTGCACACCCTACAAGATTGGATAGAAATACCTGGAATTCATTCAGAACCTACTGAGGAAAAAGCTAGCAGTGAAGCCCTTCTTTGGCACAAACGGGTTCCCAATTACCTCTCCCATCATCCCCCAACAATTTTGACACTCAGAATTGTGCAACTCCTCACTGGGATGTAGAACAGCTGATCAGTCAGGCCATTTCACCAGTAGGCCAAAGGTGCACAAGAAAGAGAGTCAATTGTCTATTACTGTCCTGGGTCAACATCATGTTATGTAGTAAAGGGCCTTATTAAAGTCAGACAATAACGTATGCTGCTATATCCACTGCATTTCTTTAGATATTTTATTTTATTTTACAGACATACTGTACCTGAATTGACTGTTTGGGGGAGATAAACTAAAATAAATTGTCCAGGCAAAGATTTTAAGCTGTTTAACCATGAATTTGCTATATATCTTTTGAAGAGCCCAAGGGCAGAACTATATGTTCTGAGGCAACCAGATATGGTGAATTCTCCTTGGCAAATACCATCCCTAATCTTTTTGAATAATACCCACCCCCCAGCTAGGTTCTGAAACATGAGGCAAGTGCACCCAACTGAGGGGAAATGATGGTGTTGAAGGTCTGGGTTGTGGACAAGGTTTTTTGGGAAAGGATGTGTACCTCTTACTGTGTTCTCCCACTCAAAGGCCTCCCCTTCCCCAGTTCACTGATGTTATTGGAGGAAGTGCAGTCGTGGAAGCTGCCTTTAATCAAGACAATCTATAGTGGCTCTTTAAGAAGTACAGAGGGTATTTCCAACCTTCTGTTTCTCTAGCCACAAATCTGAAAAAAAAAAAAAATAGAGAATAACTCACAAAAAATATACCTCCAAATCCACCCTGGCTTCTTATAAATAAGACCTAACTTCCTCAGAGGCATCACAATTCCTACTGACCAGGCTTATCCCGAAATGAAAGAATGATGATAGCCTATGATATGATAAGAGACGTATGGCATCAACAATAAATATTACTGGAAAATAAGTTAGAAATGAAGCACGTAAAGCACAATTTCATCTGGTGAATAGCAATGTACAGTATGTGGAAATACAATATTTACTCTACATAACTCTTTTCTGTGCTCCAGACAAGAAGAAAACTGGATATAGGCTATGACTCAGTGGTACATTCCTATAAGCCATCTTTCCAAAGGGTTTAGTGTTTTTTGAGGTTGCCCTAACTGCTGGAAAAGCAGAAAACTTTTTCAATACTTTTTAATCAAGGCTAATCAAGGCCCAGGGACAAAGAACACATGAAGCCAAAGCTGCTTCCACACTAGTCATTCGACAAGGATTTGCCATGCCTTGTACAGCAAGATTGGAGAACATGTAGTATCCCAGAGGTTGCTGGACTCCACCTTCCATACACTGCCCATTTTCGTTTTAAGAGGAGAACATCCATCTGTAATCCTTTGTTGTTTCCCCAATGAATCTTCCATCATCTTTCTCACCACATAGAGTCTAACTGTAGAAAGACGGAAGAGCCCCACAGTCTTCATTGGAGCACTAATGCATTGATGGATGCTCCTCTGCCTTCCTATGAGTGGTGTGGCTTCAGTGTGGGCAGTGGTGAAGCAGACCAGGGAGGCCATTACAGCTCAGCATACATTCAGCATACCTTTTGCACCTTGTGGCGCAGTGGTTAAACTTCTGTACTGCAGCCAAAACTGGGCTCACAACCTGGACTTCAATCCTGGGTAGCCAGCTCATGGTTGACTCAGCCTTCTATCCTTCTGAGGTCGGTAAAATGAGTACCCAGCTCGCTGGGTGGGCAATTTGTAGCCTGCATACCGTAATTAACTTGTAAACTACCCAGAGAGTGCTTGAAGCGCTATATAAGCGGTATATAAGCAGCACACATTGCTTTTAGCTTTGGGCTACATTTTATAACCTTGTTCATTTTTAAAATCAGTTTTTAAAAAACGTTGTCTTGGCAGTAGTTTGTGAGTGTATGTGTTTGTGTGTACATCTTTTATACACATATCCATGTACATATATTAGTGTTTCGCATATTAGGAACTGCTGGGTAGCTCAGTGGTTGAGGTCTGGCTCGGAGTTCGATTCCCCACAGTGCCTTCTTGTCAGGACTGGATTTGATTATCCATAGAGTCCCTTCCTGCTCTGCACTTCTAAGATTATATTATATATTATAGTGAAATACTACTTAAATGAGAGTGCTGTAGTGCCGCAACTTTAAAATGCACTGCCATGTGCACAGCATTCATTTGAATGAATTCAGCTTGACTTTTTCGAGATGTAAATGCTTCTCCACAGCCCATTAAATGTTTGTTTTCTGTGGGAAAACTGTGAAGAATGATGGGTGCATTGTTTCTTCAGGTCACCCTCCAATGTCAGAAGGAAGAACGCTGCCCGCATCTCATCCCCTCCTGCTGACCTCAGCAATTCCTCAGAAGACACCTCTGGAAAGCTGTCTTCCTTGAACAGTGAGCAAAGTAAGATACAGTAAATTTAGTAAGTTATGAAGTAAGTTGTAGTAAATGGAGTCACGTAGGCAAAAAAGCAGCCCTATTGCATAAGCAGTGTTGGAGCTGAACACTGAAATGAGGAGGAAGTTTGCTTGTTCTGGAGATTAATGTATGGATCAGAACTCTCCCAGAGCTTAGGAGTGGGGTGAATAATTTGATGAATTATTCCCTCCACAAAGGGAACTGAACTCCCCATTTCCCTCAACCCCACTCATAAGCACCTGATCTCTGACAGGATTTGCAATCATTTTATGGGCCAGTAGAGAAAGGTTTGGTCTGTTATGTCATGTCCCTATGGTATTTTTCATAGCCATGTCTCCCCTCTCTGCTTATCTATCTTAAAGTTTGTATTTTTCCTCCCTAAGTTCTCTTTAATGCTCTTTCCCAAGGCCTAATATTGCCTCTTCTCCTTAGGAAATAAGCAACTTCACCAAGCACACCCAGAGATGTGTCAGGCTGCCCCTTTCCTTTAAAGTATTTCAGCCAGTCTTCATTACAATGAAATTCCTTTAGCCTCTCATAAATTTAGTTAGCTAGTTAATTACAGGTTAATATTATCCTTTGGTGGTGGTGGAGATCCCATGGCAAAACAACTGCCACATCTGGTAGTCTGGCTAGCTTGAGGGACTTGAATTCTCTTTCTTTCCTGTCCTGCTGGTTCCAGTGGGAGGGAAATAATCACAACCACACCAAAACTGGCATTGTGTAAGGCTTGTTTTGTAAACATGTCGGAATAATGAAGAGATTTTGAATTCTGCAGCTCTGTGGATAACTTACTTCATAACATTCAACCCTGGAATACCCTGCTTTGGCTCCCACTCCCAATGGGACACTACAAGCAAAACAACTGTAATAGTGAAAATTTTCATGACTGTATCAGAAATATTTCAGCAACGCTGGTGTCATAATCCCTATGGAACGCAATTAGTTTCTATGCAGCTGCCTGCAATGTCAGGATTTCTTCCCTCATACAGTATCGTTAAAAGAATGTGTGCCTTATAAGGTATCAAGTTGACTTATGCTAGTACCATTATTTTATATCATATTATAGATAGAATCAAGAATCTGTTTTGTCTCCTACAAAAGAACTAGGAGAAAGAGCAAGGCTTAGTAGCTTTTTAAAAATTCCAAAATGTTTAGCCCATCATTTAAGATCATCTTTCCTAGTTTTCTGTCTCCCATACCTCCAGTGAACATTTATCCTACTACAATATTAAAAAGCTTTCAGTAGAGTTCTCCTACCCCACCCTATTCATTTTCTTTTGGCAAAAGATACCAAATGTCTTCATATGTCCTTTGCCCTTGGAAACTAGGGGGGGAAAGTGTGTAGATTGCCTGAGAGATAGAAGGCTGATTGACTCATTGGGTATTCTGATGCAGGGGATAAATTGTCTTTTTAGTCAGAACAGGACATCTCCAAAATAAGATATAGCGGTTCAGCACATTTAAAATACTTCAATCTACTAGAAGCTGGAGCTTATTCCCTGGGGTAGACCAGGCACTGTCTGAAGTAAATTATTTTAGTAATGCTCATTGACTTATAAACTAGCAGGTATTCTCTACTGCCGACTCTTCTTAGACTACCATCCCCTCTTCTTTCACTGTGTAAGGATATAATATTTTCAGAATGATTTCCCTGCACAGTTATTAGTCTTATTACAGCCAGTCCTGCTTCATTAGCTCGCTCACCATACAGATACAATGAGTGAGTGAGGAGTCATGCTAGACAGGCATTGCTAAGGGAAAGACTGAGGCTAGATTTTATTGCTAACATATTTGCCAGATAGGCAGTAAATTGCTTCTATATTCATTGGCACTTGGTTATTAAAAACACAATAGGAGTGCTGAAGAACTATTGTAAAATTGACCCAGACAGGCTTGGCGGTATCAAGATTAGTCACAAAGGGTCTAGAACCACCACCTCAGTGCTCTTTCTTCTACCCCCTGCTTCGGTACCCTGTCTGCCTTCTCATTGGTTCTTTAGTGCAGCCAATCACAGTCCTTAGAAGACTGTGATGGGTGGGTCTAAGGAATGAAAGACATGGAATTGTTCGTGAGCTTTTAAAAGTTGGCAGTTGGTTTCAAGAGAGTGTAGGTGCCAAAAGGGAGTGGGTGTGGCTGGAGTGAGAGAGCATGATATGTATTTGTTTAAAGGTGGTGTGTATGAGGGAGAAAATAAGAGCCGGTAGCCATGACATGGTGCCTTTGTAAAGTTAAAGTATGCCTAGGTAACAAACATAAGCACCTAGGAACTAAGACTGAGAGTTCATATGATTTATGCTTCTGTTACAGTCTTAGAAATAAACTGTTAGGTCTTTATGTTAACAACGTCTTATGTATGAATGGCTTTAGGAACTGAGGGTTCCTGCTATGCTGCCACAGAAACCTTTAGAAACACAACCCATATCTCTGGTACTAGTCCTTCATGTCTTCATATTTCTGGGCTGAAGTATAGATAGGGGAATCAGTTATCTTTTATTTGAGTGGAGGAACTGGCTTTTAGATTTCCACACTTATTTGACTGGAGCCCACAACACATCAGGAAGAAATCTGGGAGAACTGGAATGGCCATGATGCTGTTTTCCCACTCTCATTGCTTGGAAAATCTAAATTATACAAAAACTTTGTTTCATTCTGCTTTGCAGGTGGCAACAAGTCTTTCCACAGTGACACAGAGAGCCTTGGAGGGAGTACTGAAGGCCAGTCTTTGGATTCACCCACCTCCAGCCCAGGTGTGAAGGAGTACATCCTGTTTCATATTATTTCTCTTTTTTCATAAACTGGAAAATTAAGTATGGTCATATGAAGGAGAGAACTGGAATAGCCTGATGGTACATTTTGTCCAAGAGGAAGGCTACTATAACATTTTGGAGACATCATATTAATATTTTTTTCTGTTATAGGGTCACTGTTTTCCTAGTTAGTCATAGTGTATAACTTGGTGATGTCACCTTTTTGTGTGTGCATGTTTTGGCAACACACCATTCCCTGTAATGTTGAAAGAATCAGTTTAAAAATCTAGGTTTGAATTCAAACTCACATATACAGTATTTTTAACTTGTGTACAGATACTAATGGCCAATACTGTAGCAAATAAATAGGAGTTAACCAAGGTTGCAACCAGATGGCCCAATTATTCCAGCCTGGATGGATCTAGATGGTGCTAAACAGGTTCACTTTGAGGTGCAGGATGACATTTGGGGTGATCCTTACATCTACATACAAGGACTGAGCACACTATACATCAAGCAATCCTGTTTAGCACCATCTAGACCAGTCTTGTTTCTCTTTAAAGGGAAAGAAAACAAAAAGTCCCCCGTCTGCCTCCTCCTTTATGTTTTGTTTAAGCTGCTTAACAATCTTGAGAAATGGAAAGCTTCTTTTCCACTCTTCCATGGAGGAGAAGGGGGTAATGATTTCCATTTCATTTTAATTGTTGCTAACTGATACAGCATATCAGCAATGTATTGAAAATGCTTTTTTAAAAAGCCCTTTCAAAGCATCAGATACATTAGCAGCAATTAAGAAGAAATGGAAAACTTTCTGTCCCTTCCCCTTTGTAGGTAAGTGGGAAGGAAGCTTTCAATTTCTCTAGATCATTAAGCAGCTTAAGCAATGGAATAGTTCAAGCCATCTGCTTTGGTTTGACCTCAGTGATCACACATGCTGGAACTGAACTAAAACAGAACAATCCTACTGGCATTTTTAAAAAAACAGTAGTACATGACAGGGACGAAAAAAGGTTCAAGTAGGTAGGTAGTTTGGCACATATCTCATGTGGTCACCAGAAAAAGTAGTGAACCAGCCTGTCCTCAACTTGAGTCAAACCATGGGACAATAGCCCATTTAATTGCACCCCAACTTCATGTCTTAATAAATGAATTAGAAAAATAATTCAAGCCCATGTATGGCTGGAAGGGTTTTTCCTTTCCCCCAAATTCTAAGTTTAAAGCAGGGAAATTGTTTGATGGCATCTCCCATTAGCCCAAGCCAACATAGCCAACGATGAGAGATGATGGGAGTGTTCAGTGTTCAAATCACTGTTCTCCAGAAAATGGCCCTGCTTATTTCTCAGTTGAAGCTACTACTTTCCAGTCTGCTCTTCTAGAGATAGAAGGTGCCCATCTCTTCTCAAGCATATCACCTAAGGCAGATATTTCACCGTCTCCTCTAGAGACATTCACTGTTGGCAGCTCCACTATCCTTGCAAGATGAGCAGCTGGAATGTTGGAGGAAGGTTTGAGAATGTTACAGTGAAGCAGTGATTCATGAATTCTTATGCAAAACCCAGTGTAGGTGGCCTTGAACTTAACTGGCTCTGGGCTCTGAGCTGGCTTCCATTTTTTTTCCTTTTTAAAAGAAATGTCTCATTCTTGTTCAGGCCACAAGAAGCTGCTGAAGGCTCCATCCACTGGCACAGTATCCTCAGAAGATGGTGAAGACAAAGTTCTGACACAAGTGTATGACAATGGTGAGAAGCAAAATATATATATATATAAACATATTTTCAGGCAACTGAACAAATGGGTTTGCATCTGTAAACGCTGCTTGAGTCAGGAAAAATTTTCTCTCTGTTAACGGTTAAATCAATGATATATATATATATATATAAACATATTTTTAGGCAACTGAACAAATGGGTTTGTATCTGTAAATCAATACAAGGTCAACACAACGTAACTTTGCATTCACTGGAACTGCCTGCCACACCTTCTCCAACTCTTCTACCTTTCATAAAAATTATTCCTTTGCAGTTTTCAAACTTTATGAGTTTAAGGTTTGCAAGAAGTCTCCTTTCATCTCATCTAGTTCTCCTTATCTGTTCCTGCCAATTCTTTATGTAGGTGTGTGCTTTGCTATTCATCTGTGTAAGAATAGAAGATCAAATGATTTGGCATTGAGAGCACAGTATTAGAAGCTGAAGAGACATGATTCCAGCAAATCACTGCAATGGAGTAATCATACTTGAAAATGAGACCCATCTTTACCTCCCAATGACCAACTACAAAACAAAGCAATGTAATTTGTAACTTTTGGAAATGTGAAAAGCTCCTGCTGTGTTAATTAGATGTATTTTCAGCACCTAATGAATCCTAATAACATGCTGTCTGGAACATATAGCTTGTCTCTTGAGTTTCTCCTATCCAGTAGAAACTAATTAAGGACCACATGCTTCACCCCTTGTCCAGATTCTACGGATGCCTCTGAAAACGGTGTGTCCTGTGGCCAGTTCAAGAACATAAATCTGTCCACCGCTGCCCAGACTCACCGTCTGCGGAAATTGCGGGGGCCTTCCAAATGCAGAGAATGCGAGAATTTCATGGTCACTGGGACGGAGTGTGAAGAGGTGAGTTAGTGTAAAGGGGTATATAAAGTTCATATCTCAAAAAGATTGTCATTCTCAGTACACTTCAGGATAAGTGCCCTTTCACTAGAAAACAGGAGTCTCAAAATCAGCCGGGAAATTTCAGCCTAAGCAGTGATTTCTGCCCCTGTGTGTGCATTATACAAAGACCTGCAGGCCATCTCGCTTCCCTGAAGGGTATTCATGTGTGGTGCTGATGTTCATCACAGTCTCTTTTTTCCAATTATGATTGTATACTAGAAATATTTTGGGTGTGCATCTAGAAAAAAAAGGTCTATCTATGCAGTGGCTTCACTTTTAAAACTATACAGGCATTCAGATTAAGACAATAGCCGTCTATGAAGTCAGCATCAACTAGATGATCGGTACCTCAGACCCAAGAGAACTGCATAGCCTGTGATCATGGGCAGGATCTCCATCAGCCAGCACCCTTGGGCTGCTGACGCATTGCACCCTCCTCAAGAATATTCTCATTTGAGAACTAAATGTGGGTTCTCTTCTGGGTTGGAAGAGAGCCCAGCCGGACCAATTCAGTTTTCTTGATCCACCCACAGTGCTTGCTGACTTGTCACAAGAAATGCCTAGAGACTCTTCTCATCACCTGCGCCCACCAGAAGCTGCCAGCACGGATGTCACTCTTTGGGGTTGGCTTTGGTCAAGTGCCACGGGATTTCCCAGAGGAAGTGCCATTCATTGTGGTGAAGTGTACCTCGGAGATAGAAACCCGTGCCCTCGGAGTGCAGGTAAAGCCCTTCCTTCCGGAGTTAAAGCTGTCACAGTACAGGCTGTGCTCCTGTGGCAATGCAAGCAGTGCAGCCACCGGCTATCCATCTCCAGTCCCAATCTCCACACACCACACAGGGCCAGACTGAGACATGTCGAATTCCTGAGCTACAGCAAGGTCTAGGGATCTCATAACATTACCATAATATTGGCTGAAGTCCTGTTGCTTAGCATAGTAAGTTGCATTAGAGTAGATCCACTAAATCAGTGGGGACTGATGAGTCGCATCTCCATAGGTTTTATTGCCACCACACCCATAACAAGGAGAAAACTGTATTATGGGACCAGATGAGACCAGTTGGTTCAAGCAATGCGTACTTCTTGGTGTTATCCATACAGCAGTATTTCAATGGAAGTGCACAAAGAGCGGGTACAGAACATGGGTCAAGAAAGTTGTGAGATCTTCAGGTACAGCCACTTGCAGAACCACAATCTGTTTTTCAGTGTTGTCCCATGGCAAATTGTCCTACTAGTGCCCCTAAACCCTGAATTCCTTGCTCAGTGGTGGTCCCTGCGTCCTGAGCCACAGAATTCTGGGAAAGGCAGAAACCGGCACCTGCCAGCTGCCCAGTTCTAAGTCCCAGCCATCGTGTCTTCCTTGTGTCTCCAACCTCCTGCCATTGCTGATTCTGGAGGCTCAGCAATGTGTTGCTGTGTTTCTCTTCTGGACACTGTCCGTCCTCCAGTTTCTCATTTGGGTTGCCCTTGCCTCTTCTGTGCTCTTTCGATGCAGGGAATTTACCGTGTGAGCGGGGCCAAGGTCCGCATGGAAAGGCTGTGTCAGGCCTTTGAGAATGGCCAGCGACTGGTGGAGCTCTCGGACCATTCGCCTCATGACATCACCGGAGTTCTTAAACATTTCCTTAAGGAGGTAAGGAGCTGAGAGGAAAACAGGCCGAGACTGATATTTCTCTTGGGTAGGAAGTGGCTTCCCTGAAGCTGATGGTAGGCATGCGCAAACAAGGGCATGAATATGGGCGTGTGCAGCCCACGGATCTCTGAAGACTTCTGGCCCTACAGATTCCCCAGCAATTCCCTACTGATCCTTCTTTCACTACTACCGATGACAGTGAGGGCTGAGTAATCTACATCAGAGTTCCTGGAGAAATGGGCAGAGTAAAGACTGTGTGAAAGGAAAGGAGGGAGACACACACACAGAGAGAGAACCTGTCCTCCATACTGTTCTTTCCAGCCATTCTTTTAGTCTCCCAGCTCAAAGCAGATTCCAAAAAACCCAAAACTGGCCTCAAAGCTGGCCCCATTCTTGGGACCAAAGAGTTATGTTTCCCTGGTTTAAATCATTAGCAGGCAGAGCATCAAAATACACATTCTCCAGACCTTTGGGAGATTGTATTATCTAATGACAAAAAGAAACCCAATTTAAAAAAAAATTCACAGCTCATGGTGCAACTATGGAACAATCCTGGCTTAATCCCATTTACACAGTTGGAATGAATCATGATGTAATAGTAACAATAATACAATGTCTGGCCAATTTCAAATTATTTTGGACCTTTTCAGGGTTTTCTACATGTAGAGCATTCAGAAGTGGTTTTACCATTCCCTTCTTCTGGGGCTGGTTCTGGAACTGCGCAGCTTGTCCCAAGGCCACCCAGGCTGTCTCTGCTCACATTAGGTGCAGTGGGGAATCAAACTCCCAACTTCTGGCTCTGCAGCCAGATACCTAATTCATTGAGTTATCCAGGCAGTTGATAGATGATGTACATACTGTACCTCTTAATTGTGCAAGCTGTCTTCCTTTCTCTATACATGCTGTTACATTTACATGACAATCTTTCACAGTCAGAATTTTTAAGCAAAAAAAAAAATTGCAAACATCCTTTGTAGTTCTGCACAGAGAAGTGTCTTGCTGCCAACCACCTCCTGATTCCTCTGCCAACTTGCAGGACTGTTATTTTCAAAGCGAAACTGAACCAACATGTGTTTCAACTACAGGCAATGACAGCATTTTCAAATGAAGAATCTGAACAGGCTTTTTCCACTCACCCTTCCACATCTCAGTAGGCTAGGCTCCCTCCCCCATCTAACTGAAACAGGCCGTGTATTTTTGTGCTGGTAACAACTTTGGATACATGACTCTTCCTGCCTTTTTGAGAGTTTGATGAGTAATGAAGAGCTTATGGCTGTTATATCTGCTGTAACCCCAAGACTGGGTTAGACTTCCCCCTAAACCTAGACCTGATGGTGTGTACCTTTTCCTATGAGCCTGAAGATGATGGAGAATTGTGCCTGCATATCTTGGAAGTTCAAAGATGTCTGGCATTCATCATCATCATCATCATCTTAGAACTGGAGAGCTGGAAGGGACCGTATGGATCCTTGAGACCACCCCTGTTGAAGAGGAATTAGACTCCCAACCACTGGCTCTGCAGCCAGATACCCAAACCACTGAGCTATCCTGCAGTTCTCTTCTTTAGGCCTGTTTTATGTCTTTTAGAGAGGACTCATATCTTTATATTCTACTGGGAGGTTGGAAAGGCACATCTGTTTCTTTCATTAGGTAACGCTGATCCTTTTACTATGTCCTTCCCTGTTGAGAAGACATTCCGCCAAAGCTGGGAATGCTAGATTTAAAATACAGCTAGTTAAAGCTTAATGTTCAGTATTGGACACTTGCTTCATTGCTGTTAACATTTAAAACTAAGAACATGTTAAAAATATTAATTGTTACTATATTAATATCGCCCTACTGAAGCACTGATGGTAGAAACCAATCTGATAAGTAACCCATGCTCAGAGCAAAAAAAGCACGTTGGTGTCGGAGAGATGTGATTCAGGGAGACTGTGGTGTTTGACTTCCAAGGAATCATGTGATTAAGTCTTGAACACCCATCCCAAAACAGAGCAGGCTCATTTGCAGATTACCTGGGGTGAGAAAAGCTTTTGCTGTACACTCAGATGTTTTCAGGTGCTATTTAATTTTATCATCAAATCATGGATTATCTGCCCAGATATATACAACACTCTGAGAACTGGGATGGCTGGTAAACAAGGGAAAACATTGTGACTGACTTGAGAGGAAGGGAACTGTAGATACTAGACTTGTAAAGGTACTGTTGGTAATACTGTATAACAAAAGAGGAAAATTGAAGGAAACTTGTGGTGTCTTTAGGATTAAGAGACTTATTTTAGCGGCATTTTTGTGGACTACAATCCACCTCCTCAGAGACTGGTAGTAGAGTTGTTTAAAAGTGTAGTAGCCTGGTGAGAACTGAAAATATTTGTGATCCGGACAACCAGGACTGAAAAGGAGGTTCTGATCCTTTCTTGTTCCAGCTTTCTAGTCCTGTGCTTCCGTACGCTCTTTATGATGATTTCATGGCCCTCTCAAGGAGCTTGCAGAAAAGTGAGGAAAGAAAAGTGGGAGATTCTGAAACATCGGCAGATCCCATCCAGAGGGCAAAAGAGTTACTGAGTGAAATGCCAGCAACCAATTACAACACCTTGCGGCACCTCATCGCTCATTTGTACAGGTAATGGGGAAACTGGCTGAACCCACAAGCCTTGCTTCCTAAGGAGAGATCAGATGTGATGGATCTGTCTGAATTGCAACAACTTTGGGGGTTTAAAAAAGGGGTCGTAAGTAGCAATATTTTAAATCAGCTCTAACACTATTTTAAATGTTTAATTGTAGTTAGGGGAACCAGGAGCAACTGGCTGGCTGGGTCTGTGACAAGAGTTGCAACCCAGCACATTTTGAAGTTGGGAAGCCTGGTTTATGTTTTAGACATGAGCTCAACTTTCTCTCCCAAGTCCCTGTTACAGAAGAATATAGAAAAAGCCATTTCTTTGTCATACTGCAGCTGTGGGTAACATTTTCCTTCGTTTTGGGAACTGGGGGGGCACACCACATATGCACCACAGGCATGAAGGGAACTACACCCACATAGGCAGAACAATTTCCTTGTGTGCATTCATGCTCCTTTGTCCACACAGCGAGACATGTACATTATCTGTACACATATGTTTGTATACATATATGCAGGTGAAACACAGACCCATTAATGTGTGGGTATATACTTGTGCAATGCATGCACACAACTATACACACACTGACGTGCAGACATACACACATGCATACATACCCATGCTCATGTTAATGTAAAATCAGATTCTTGCATAGGTGCATGCACTCACATGCATTCATACACATGTGTACATGTATAGACATATGTACTTGTATGCATATGCATTTACCTTCACACACACATATACAGAACCATAAACTGGCAAATTCACACTAACAGAATCATGCATTCATGAATATATACATGCCCACATGCAAGCATACATATAAATGCCATGTATCCACCCATGCACAAGCTACACAAATGAACCTGTGGCATGCTCTTGCACATGTATGTGTATTGTAGCACTACACAAACAAACCTATGCACACTCATGTTCTTGCAAATGTGCACATAAATAGATGTGTATTTACATACACAAACACTAAAGAATACATGGTGTGTTTAAATGTACATACATGTATTTATGCATGCACTTGTAGACACACCTATGCACGCACATTCACCCACAGACATGTACACACACAAAAACCTGTGCATGCAAATTCAGTGCACAGACATAAGTTTTACATCCTCAAGTGCAACATTTCCAGAAAGCATAGACACATTTGCCAGGATTCAATGGGTAAGTCCCCAGATTCCCATTTTCCCCACCATTCACAAAGTGGAATTGCTGTTGGAAATGCAGCATAAACATCTCAAATCTGTGCTGTCATTCATGAAAAAAATGTTCACTTCGATTGGAAACCCAAATCCTTGATGGTTGTTTTTCTCTCTCCAAGGGTGGCTGAAAGATATGAGGAGAACAAGATGTCCCCCAACAATCTGGGGATCATCTTCGGCCCAACACTCATCCGCCCTCCTGGGAGCAATGATGTTTCCATGTCATGCCTGGTGGACTCTGGGTACCAGTCCCAGCTGGTGGAATTTCTCATCCTCAACTACGAAAGGATTTTTGGAATGGATGACCTGCCTTCAGGTGGCCTTTGTGAACGGGACAACTCTTTGAAAGAAGAAAATACCCAAGAGACTCTCTCAAGCAATGAGAGAAGTCTTGATGTCTCTTCTGAGGTAAGAAGCGAGGCGGCCGGCCGGGGGGGGGGAGGGGTTCTTTTCTGTCATTTGAAGGCTTATTGTATTTTTCTGTTCCAGAGAAGTACAAACAACACGGGCAAAAGCCAGTTGTCTAACTTTACACTGGTTTAAAGGGTGCAGAAACATTTAACTTGAAATTAATTAAAAGTTTCTTATTTTCCCCTTTTTTGGCCCTGAGATTCCCTTTGCCCCAGAGAACACTTTGGAGTGGAAGGGAGCCTTTTATCATTAAAAAAAATCACCACTAAACCAGCGGCAGTAGTGATCTGGTGATGATTTTGTTTCCTATTAAAGGATCCCTTCCACCCCTAAAATAAATAAATAAAATAAAAATAAATGATTTTGTTTCCTATTAAAGGATCCCCTCCACCCCTGCTCCCAAAGGCTCCAAAAGAAAACCCAATGGGATTTCTTCCATTCGGCTATAACTGTTACCTCCGGCAGGTCCTCTTTGCCTTGTTGATAGTTTTCTTGCAATGTCCAGAGCAGAACTTCATAACACTGGGGCCAGAGCTGAAAACACTGCTTCACAGGCATGGCTTTTTCCAGCAGAAGCACCCATCTGCACTGTATTTTGATGAAGAGGATGGTGTAACTGAGGCCAGGCAGAAGCAGAGGATGGAGGAAACCGACTGCCCGCCAAGCAGAGACACCGTAGGTAATTTTTTTTTGGTGTACAAATCAGCTGTTCAATGATGAGAAGGGACTATATTTTGCAAAGAAAATCTTGAGCTAAGACATTTCCAAAAGAGCTGCCTCAACCACCCGCCCAAAACCGTTAACGTCCATACTGTGCCTCTTTGCAGAGCACTGAGGGACTTACAGCTTTCCATATATTGTTGGGTGGCTCTCATCATCCTTAATTGTTGGCCAGGCTGATGCGATTCAGAGTCGAACCATATCTGGAGGGACATAGGTTCCCCAGCCCAGGTCTACACAGGATTTGTTGTGTCAAAATCCCAAACATTTAGCAAAGATGGTTTATCCGCTCTTCGATCAGAGAGCTCAAAAATTGAATTATGATTTCTTTATATAAATGTCCTTCGTGACTGTAAGAAGTTAGAACACTTTGGAAGCAGCTCTTGGTGGAGCTGCATCCTCCCGTTCCAAAGTCTTCCGACAAGGATACTGGCAAGTCTTTGGGTCTGAGACCCAAGCCCCAGGTCCAAGTTCCCATGAAGGACAAACTTGTTTTCCCCAGAAAAAAAAAAAGGGGAGAGGTGGGTGAGTTCAGAGCTGTGAGTTGAGTGTGAGTCATTGGGGGGGACGACACCCAAATTGAGTCCAAGGTGAGCTGCGAGTGTGACTGACATCTTGTTTTTATTTGATTCAGTGATGTGATTTTAATTTTTACTCTAGATTTGATGATGATGATGGGAACGGCCCAGAATATTGCTATGCACTAATGGGGCAGGTTGTGTGTGTGTGTGTGTGTGTGTGAGAGAGCGATAGAGAGAGAGAGAGAGAGAGAGAGTGAGAGAGAGAGAGAGAAAATAAAAATAAAACAA